AGCTGCCCTGAAACTACTTTGCCGCCGGCATTGAGAGCCCTGCTCTTGCGTCTGCTCTGTCGTTAATAGATCTTATAACTCCAGATGCGCTGCCGGTTGACCCTCTGGATTCGATCTTTGGCTTCGTACCACAAACAAACAGCAACTACAACTTGCCGCTCAATATATATCTTCACTCTCCCCCCGTCTTCTTATTCAGAGCATGGCCCATACTGCTGTTGCCAACACTCGAACAAGATCTGTCACCACTACCGTTGTTGCACAACACGACAAGTACCCCGTCGACAACATGACGCGATCAGCCTCCGCAGAGCCTACGAAGCCCACCAAGCGCAAGGGTACGCATAATCAACTTGATTTCTCAAGGGACGGAGACGACGACGACGAGGTCGTATACCACACCACACCTCTGTTGTTGCCGCCTCGACCGTTCCTTCTTCGACCCTTCTCCACTCCCCTCAACACCTCCCTTCCCCTTCGTTGCTTCGTGTACGGACACTATGTTGACTTGGCCACCTAAACAGGCACCAGAAGCGTCTCAACCTTGACGCCCTCCCAGCTGGCGCGCAAGCGTGCCAACGACAGAGAAGCTCAGCGGGCTATCAGAGCCAGGACAAAGGAGCATATTGAGAGACTCGAGCGCGAGCTTGAGGAGCTCAAGAGCGAACGTGGGCGCGACCAGAGTCAGACCGTCCAGGAGCTGTTGCGCAAGAACAAGGCCCTCGAAGAGGAACTGTTCAAGCTCCGCGAGAGCATGGGCGTTCCCAACGGGCAGTCCTACCCAAACTCAGGTATGGCTGCCTCCTCAGTCGCCTCGTCTTCTGCGTGGTTGCCTCTTGTTCGTGCTGACTCGGCTCCAGTGTACGACGACAACCTCAGCTCCATCAGCGGGGCCGTCCCAAGCCCAAGGTCTTCACCGTATCCTTCCAACGGTGACTACAACGTGATGCAAGAACTCGGCCCCTCCTACGTGCCCATGCCGGATGCTTCAGAGTCATGGGGCCCAGGCATCCCCGTTTCCGTGCCCTCTACCGTCTCGAGTCCGTCATCTTCTGCCAACACAGACGAGTACGGCGCTGGCTACATCCCCACGAGTGTTCCTGCGCCAATGATGGACGCCCGAAGCATCCCCTCCAAGCTGGATTATGACGAAGTTGACTCTGGTGGGTGACCTCCCCTGTATGCGGTGGCTGGGTTGCAACGCAATTCTGAGACGCTAACCACTCAGCTCCTAGACGCTGGATATCCTCACAACCACTCAATGGGCCATCACCAACAGGTGCCCATGTCTCATCATCATCAATCGTATCTTCATCACCAGCAGTCGTGGAACTCGTACCCAACTCCAGTGTACTATCAACAACCGTCGGCTCATTGATCCGCCGGCCTGGCACCATCCTATGGGAGGTTCCGACGCTCATTGTTCCACCCACATGCCGAATCGACCAGTTGATTGTCGGCTTTATTCAGGACTGCCGCCGACTGGCTCAACTGAAACCCCTCGATAACATTCTACGGCCTACCAGGGTCAACGTGAAGAACTTTCTTGAGTATCACCCGGCCTCGCCCACCTCGGAACCTCCACGGTGCCAGCTAGCCGACCTTGACCGAGCCGCCTCCACAGCAGTTACGGGGCCAGGCGTCAACCACCCTATTGCCGAGCTAATCACAGCTTTTGTCAACACGGCAGGCGTTACCAATGTCATTGAGCGTCTCGCAGTTTTCGCCATCACTCAAAGGGCCGTTGCCTGGTTGGTACACCCAACGCGCGACGCTTATGCTGCCATTGTACCGGAACTCACGCCAAAGCCTTGTCAAACCAGCATCCCGCACCCCCAGTGGATCGACCTTGTACTTTGGGCCCCTCTGCGCAAAGCACTTATTGAGCGGCAGGAGGTGTACGCCAACGAAGAGTTTATATCCGTCTACTCGGCCAGCCTAAGGCTTGTCAACTGGCCGTGCCGACCAATTGACGCTTTGGTAGTCGACCCGCAATCTGGAGAGATGTGGCTGAGCGACACGTTCACCACCCACGCAATGCGCATCGAAAACTGGCGTCTCGATGAAAACTTTGTTCGACGTTACCCTGAATTTCGTGGCTTTGTTGCTGTCGAAGGATCTTGAGAGAGGCAGTCATGCTCTCACTTGTTCACATCCTTCAAGCCCCGGACCCTGGGTTTTGTTTCTAGGCTCTTGTCGTCCTTACATTCCCTCCGTGTTCGGAACTGGAGTTTCATTCTAGCTGGAATGGGATGGGCCCTCTTCAGAAAAATCCAAACATACTCACACTTTGCCTGGATGGTCTTTGTAGTAGATTAAACGCAAAACGGGGTTGGTTCATCGTCGTGGCATTTCACAGGTGGGCGGGGAGCACGTCTTTTTAGGCCCTCTGTATTCTTGTTTTTCACGTCTTTTTTTTTTCCCTTCCCTTTTTCCCTTCTCTGGACTCTGATTCAACAAACATATACTGGGTGGTGCATGGGAACCAGGTTGGTGAATTCTTGCACTATCAACCCAACTATAGCTGTTTATTATCTTTTTAACGTTCTGTTTACTGGAAAACCTGGAGAAAGAGAGGCGCTATATGGGAATTTAGGATGGCATTTTTTAACTTATTTCCTGTTCTTTTCTTACGTTTTGTTATTTGTTCCGGACACAAACCATTGGGCGGTTTTAGACTCTTTTGGGGATGGGGGATGATACACAACACAACACATTCGGGATGGAATTAAAACGAATGTAAATATGGACTTTTCATGTTTAACCATAGTTACGCAGCCGACGAAGGGAGAATCCTATCCAGGCACGCAGAAACCAAGAATTTGATGAACATTTCAAAACAAGTCTTTTTAGTTGGCTCGCGGACCACGATGCAGAGATTCGGTTCTTGCATATTACGCAAACAAGGTGCCACTCGAGGTGAGTTGTATGAGAGAGGTTGATATGAGACTCCAAAGAATTTGGGAAGGACAGTCTTTGGACAGCATAGGCTCCGCCGATCAATTGTGTCGAGTCATGCTTCTCACTTTTAACAGGAAACAGACAGATACAACAGTCGAGGTTCCCATACCACGCTTACCAAGCCCTACCAAGGCAACTTTGGAAGAGGCGGCATGACAGGACTGTTGTAAACTCTATGTATTCTACACCCTGTTGTTGGCGTTGACGGGGTTCCAAAAAACCTCAGACAAACACCCACTCCAACACCCTCCATCATACAGGGAGATAGGTATGCAGGCCGCAGCTGCACCCCTCGAGTTTCTTCCACTCGATATGACGTTGTATGTGGAACCTGGTCAATGAGTATCTATCTGTGTGCGGCGAGTTCCCGGCCAGACTTTCAAACGCAAAAGAATCGAGATGCAGTGAACAAGGAAAACCCGAAGGGGGGAGTGGTAGAGAGAGAGAGAGAGAGAGAGAGAGAGAGAGAGAGAGAGAGAGAGAGAGATAAACCATGACACAGGTGTGATGAGGAAACGACGGGAAGTGTCTTTTCTGGGTCCGGCACGACCAGGGGGAAGAGACGAGATGGTCCAATCACGGAAGCTGTGCTAACCGTCTTCTGCCCGCGTGTCGTCCAGTAGATGGGACAACCACCTCAGATAGAGAGGCACAGGCACACTCGCACATCCATACATATGTTTCCCCTAGTACCTTCAGTTGACTTAGCCGAACCGGACCGAACACACGACGGCAGAGCATGGGTCTAGGACAGACAGGCATGACCACAACAGATGAGAAACCACAACGGACAGCAAGGTAAAGGGCAGTTTGGCAGGGAATGTGGCGCAGGCTCATAGTCATTCTGACTAGACAAAGCAAAATAGGAAGAAAGAAAAATGCCAAAAATAAGAACAAAGAGACAGACTGGGGCTGGGACAGTCGCTGGGGACGGAGCGCGCGCGCGCGCGAGAAAGAGAGAGACGTGAGACATGAGACATGAGGTCAAGGCAAGGGGAGGCGCCCTTGCCGCTTGTAGACGCACATACCGCGTAAAAACGACCAACCCTGTCCGTATCTCTGTCTTTCCCCGTCTCTGCTCACAGTTCCTCAAATTTGCTTGCCTGGTTGCCTCATGTTCAACCTACTAACCTCCCTACCGCAATCTCCCTATGTTCGGCGTCTGAGGACAATGTGCAAGGAACTCGGATGTTTCCGCTCGCCTACACAACAGCAATGGCCCAAGACGGGCTAATGGTCACACAGTCCCAAACGGATGCGCTGTGTCGAGCAGCTGGGAATGGTAGGCTGCAGTATCCACACACCACCGCCTGCCGCCACCGCCGATGTCACTTGAACCCCCTTCCCCTTCCCGTGTAAATGGGACAAGAAAATGGAGACTGGGGTATGAAGAGGAGCAGCTATTGTTGTTGCATGTACGGAGTAATCACTGCGGGGAACACAGAAAGAGAGAGAGAGAGAGAGAGAGAGAGAGAGAGAGAGAGAGAGAGAGAGAGAGAGAGAGAGAGAGAGAGCGCGCGCGCGCGAACAGCTGCCGAATGCTGCATACGCCCGCACAGCAACGTGATACTGACCCAGGACAGCCTCATTGACGGCGATCCGAATCAGGGTCATCCCACTCACGCCCCATACCCCCCCCCCCCCCCTCGCTCTGCCCCTTGACGGGTTCCGCCCTTGTATAGCGGGAACTGGAACACAAAAAAAAGAGCGAGGTGCGAGGTAAGGGTGTTTTGGACGCAAATGCTCAGGAGAGGAATGACATGGGATATGCAGTGATGCTGTGTGGGTACGACGTGGGAAACGTATAAGAAAAAATTGGTACCTCCGCTCTTGACGAATTAAGCCTCCTTCGCACCACATCCTGGTCAGGCCTTGCACCCGTGCGTGCTCCAGTGTTTTCCGTATTGTAACTTGCAAAAGGTGGACTGTCCCAGCAGGTGGTTGCGATGCTGCGGAGCCTTTGAGCAATCAATCAAATCCAAGGTGGTAACGACGACGAATTGACCGCCATTCTTGGACTGGCGTAGATACCCTTCCATTCAGGCAGGCTCCATCGTCGACCCCTTGGGGCCTGTATTCTGGGGCCACGAGCCATTGTTAAGCCTCGAGATGCCTCCAAAACGAGATGGAGGCGGAGACAGCGGGAGAATGAGGAGGGAGGGGCATGGCGACAGGCTGTGGGCGGGATCCATCTGAGCAGGAGCCCAATTACCAGTCCTTTGGACATCTCGGCCTCTCTCTGGGGATCTGGGTCTTTTGGTGTCCGCAGAGCAGAGACCCGGACTCTGGAGAGGCGAGACGAATTTGGTCGAGTGAAGTGTGATCGACTGGCTGATAAGCGTCTGGCAATGAACGGGCTCGGGGCTGCGATCCACCTCTCCCCAGCTTCTGCCCCAGAGATCGTTGGGACATCGAGGCCTTGGCCGATCTATCGTTCGAGGGGCACAGTCGAGATCCGGTGTCTTGGATGGTCTCGCAAGCTGGCTGGGCGGTATGCCGCCAACTATCCTTCAAAGACTCACATTGTCGGTCGACCCCTCTCTTTAGACACAATGGTGTACCTGTAGCTTTTGCATCGATATCCGTACGGGATGCATCAGATGATCGAAAACATGACGAAAATCGGTTGGAGTTTGGCATGTTCCAAGGCACACTTTTGCGAATACGTAAGTGATGTACACGGACGCGCCAAGGATAGATTAAATCAGCTGTGAACTGTCAGCGGCACGGAGACGGGCAAAATGGCGAGATGGCCTGCCGGGGGATGTATAGTACGTACCGTTTCGTCTTCTTCAAGTGAAAGGGACCTTGTCCTGCTTTGTGGGCCCCGGCTTGCGGACTTTTCCCGCTCGGGAGAGCTAAGGTCACCTGGAAGTATGTGCTCTGCTTTGTGCCTGACGATAATGGCAACCTCAGGCATGAATGAGCTGCTTTCTCTCTCTCTCTCTCTCTCTCTCTCTCTCTTTCCCTCTTTCCCTCTTTCCCTCTCCCCCTTCTCTCGCGCTGGGATAAGATCACCAAAGCTTTAAGAATACGTATGGCTGGAAGCTGCTTCAGCGGCCGCAAGCCGCCAGGCAGTCGTGGTCAGTGACGGCCCGTGAACTGGGGGCAAGATACAACGGTGTCCGCAGGCGATCACGACAAGGCCAGGACAGGCCCGACGTCACTAGGCCTGGCCATGCCCATGTGTACTCCGAGCCGGGGACGCACCGATGCATCAGAGAGTTCAACGGCACCAGGACGCCCCGTGGGCTCGGGAAGAGTGGACGCCCAACGCGGGTGGACCATTCGCCTGTTTCCCTACCAGAAGGCCAAGGTTTCATTCTGGCGTCTTGTTTACGCACTAGGTAGTAACAGCCCCTCCCCTCCCCTGCGGGCAGCTGGGTTATTGGGGTTTTCCGGACCCCTTCACCGGTCCATCCACATGATCCAGGGGTCCCTGAGGCATGATGGGGTGCGAGTTGAGGATATTGCCAGAGGGTTGGCGCGTCGCCCACTTCATCCCACAGCAGGAGATGGGCGAAATGCAACGCTCAAAACTCGGGGGGGTTGACCCAGCGGTGTTGCCGGTGACGGATAAGGAACATGGGCATGGAAGGGAGTTTCTGTGTCCGGATCTGTGGATAAAACGGAGACCACTGCAAAGCACATACATACCTGTACACTATACTACTTCGTACTTAAGATAACCTAGTAGTAACAGTGTGACTGTGGTTGCTCTCAGGGTGACGTGTAATATGGGTGAAGCGAAAGGTTGCACAGCTTCAGGTGAGCTTTCCCCTTTGGAGCACTGCTGGAGACTGGCATTCTTTCCGTCATAAACCCCGGCCCCGTCTACTGTAGAATCTGTCTGCCGAGAGAAGGTGGTACAGAAAGTAAGTTTACGCAGATGGACGCTTCTCCTCAATAGGCCGTCTGCCTTTGGCTCATCTTAGTCAAGCACCCTAGGTCATTGCAATCGATCACGGAAAGAGAAGGCATCTATCTTTCAACTATGGTCCGCCCGTCTCGGCTAGAGTGCTACCGATCAGTGCTGCGCACTTTTAGCCTGAACTGTTGTTGTTTTTTGGTGCGTGGATTGAGGGTCGGAGGAGCAGGCAACCAATCCAATCGAGTCCCAGCGCAACGTCTTGCTGCCCCGCTGGGCGACTTGGGCCTGGTCTTCTGCAGACCAGCAGCTGGGACTGCAAGGGACCAGGACCAGCCAGGTTATGGACAAGTCCCCGGCCCGGATGTCTCACTCTGCACTGTCTGCGCCGGAGGCTTTTAGCATCCGACGTTTCTGCAATGGTGCAAAATCGCCGGACTTGACTGCGCCGAAGAGTACGAGACCGAGCGATGGGCCGGAAAGTGCCGAGCAACTGCCAGTGGGTTAGAGATCAGTGTTCCACATACTTCATGGGGGGAAATGAGTACCATGGGGTCCAGTTACAAAGTCACCGATCGGCCGACTTCTTCACCCGTGCTTTGCCTTGCTAAGCGTCATGTTTCCTCCTGCGATGGAAAATAAAGAAAAAAAGAAGGAAAAAAAGGATTGGGCGAGCCCGTTGAAATTGGGCCGGGCTTGAAAGGGGTCGGTTATGCGCTTACAGGGGTCTGTGACAGACTGACAGTTCCCTACCCTCCCCTGGTGCCTCTCCCCCATGGCGCTGCTGGCCTTGTAAGGCCAGGCCTTCCGTTTCCTTGAACACTTGGTAGAGCGAGGGAGAAGGGGAAGGGGGGGGGGGGGGGGGGGGTTGTTTGATTCTGGACAAAGTGCGAAGCGTCAAAGCTGTACCGGTCGATCTGGATGTGCACAAGGGCTGAGCAGACCGCAGACGCTCGAGATGCCAGGGTAATGATGATCAAGGATAGATGAATGGGTTGGTTCGATGGAGTCGACGAGGAGCGCCCCCGACGATGGATAGAGGTGTGCACCTTTTCCCAGTGCGCTGCTCCGCTCAGCAAAACACGGATGTGTACCGCAACAAGGTGAAGGAAGGGGCCGAGGAGGTTGGCTCGCTCACTCCACATCCATCGCAAGTCGGTGTAGTGTGTCATGAGCGTGTGGAAACCAGCGTGCCTCAAACCTACAGCATCGCTGAATGATAGAAAATAAATGGTGTGCATTCGTGGCGGCCAACGTACCTAAGCAGCCCCCCCCCCCGGAGAGTTGTTCTAGCGCTGACGATGGAATTTTCTTCAAGGTAAGGCGATTCCCCGGCGTTTGTTCCTCCTGCGGTAGGGAACATGGACGGATGTACGTACATGCCTATCTTGGGTACCTAGGTACCTAGGTGGGTGGTATTACGGTTACCCCAAGTAGATACGGTACGTCTCCTGATTGGATGTTGCCTTAGGCCACAGGGGTGCGCCCTCTTCTCCCCGCTTTCAGCTCTCACCGTTACCTCAGTTACCTAATGTACCTACCTACTTACCATTGACGCTCGACCTCGAAACCAAACCACAGCCTCGAACACCGGCGGCAGCATTCCTAGACATCGTGAGCGCGAACCGGAGAATGGCTTTTTCGAGTGTTGACCCACCGGCGCGAAAAGAAGGGAAAAGGAAGAGAGGAGAGGGGGGACACCCTCCCTCTCCCCAACTGGGGGTATAAAGCGAAGTTGTGCTTTGACGCACTCTTCGCCCTGCTAATATTGACCAAGAGGAGTAAGGGGACCACAACTTTACGCTTTGCCAGGTTTGTCTCACCGTCCAGCTATACGCCAACTTGATCCTGGATTCCCTATACAACTGCACCGAGCAATCGCCAGCCATCCCAAGCTGTAACTATAACCTTGCTCTTTTATACCCCCAGGCACATATCACTGCTCTTCCGCTGGTAAAGAGATAGGCCGGGGCATCGGCATGAGCATGAGCATGAGCATGGGCAAGGAATGGCGTGGACGAGGTGGGCTAGGGCAAGCGAAGATAAGGTCGAGATGCGACGGAAGACGAGACCAGAGAGGTCAAACCAGGCCACCTTGCTGGTCCCGCCTTCCGTCATTTGCTGCTCCTCATCACCAATCAACCCTGGCCTCCTCCTCTTTCCTCGACCGCTCCGATGCCGAACGGCAGCCCGGTCCTTGCTGCTGGAGTCAGACGTCAATTCGTACATGACAAGCTCTAGACACCCGTGGAAAACGTGGAGGGGGCTCCGAAGAGTAATGTAAGCAAAGCTAGATGGATGGAAACGTGCACTTTGCATGTTCGTTCGAGAGATACGAGTACCCAAGCTCGTCATTGCATGGTGACTGAGGTACTTTCGACCACGCTGAAATACAAACAAGGGGAAGAGAAGATTGAGGAAAATATGTGGCCGTTGGTGGATGAGATGGAAAAACACCAACCCGCAAGCGGGCCGTCCGAATAAGACAAGCATTTAGGAGGAAGGGGGGAGGGGTCTTGGAGAAACCTGTCATCTCCAATCAACACCTCCACCAGAAAAGCTATCAATGCAAAGATGTTGCTCCGAGCCCCTATTGGAGCCGGCGATGCGACATCGACACGGGCGTTCTGAAGGTCAAAAGGCCAACAAGTCTCACCTGATGAACTCTCTAGGCCCAACGAGCCCGTCGTCCAACCGTAATTAGGGGTTCCAACAGCTCCGTACCGGTAGATGGGTAAGGTTTGCGATTAGACATCTGCGAAGAAAAAACGAAGCACCATGGAAGGTTGTCGGGTTGGTGCTGGCGCGCGATTGGCAAATACTTCCAGATCACGGCAATCATAGTTTATGACATGAACCTCCTCGACTGAGGAGGGGATGGGATGTAATGCAAACTCACTCGCTGGTCGAGGGGAGCAAGAGACTATTCGACGAAGTGGAACCGTGGCTGTCGAGTCGACGAAGAGCAGACCTATCACAGCAACTTGATTTCAGTTCGTGATGCGGCCCAAGGTTGGCGGGCACGTGGACGATACGTTGTGATGGTTTGCCAGTGACCATGGAGCTCGGGGGCCCAGGGTGATGCAAAGTCATGTCCCTACCTATCTCGTTACTTGGCTGGCTCGGTGCAACAACATCCCGTCATCGGCCAAAGAATCGCCGTACGCCCATGTTCGGCTTGGGTTTGGAAGACCAGAAGACACGTGCAACTCGGGAGTCCGAATGGGAGGCAAGGAGAGGAGCGATAGGATCTCCACGAGCTACGCAATGTAAAGGCGAGGTACGCATGCGAAGGGAACGGGAAGCACGAGTTCAGCTATCCACGGGTATGTACATAGGTAGTTGGGTAGGTAGGTACCTACCTAGGTGGTAGGTTAGAGCAGGGTACATGGACAAGTCGATAAGGAAGTGCGAGGGGTGGGGCGAGAGTGAAAGAAAGCTTAGACCATCTAATAGGGACATAAATGGTCCATCAAGCTAACCCGAACAGGGCTTACCTTGCGGCGATGGTGCTGTACGAATACACGACAACGATGCCTCTTCAGTGTGTGTGGTGAGCAATGACGACAAGTAAGACTGCATCCACGGTTGGAGGCAGTGATGCCTGTCAAGGGCCATTTCTCGCTGTATCTTTCCTACCCATGCCAGCCACACGGATCAAGGCAAGAGCAAGACGGTATATGTATGGTTCTTTCCGTTCTGGGTTCCAATTTAATCGCCATGCGTGTATGGCTAAATGGGGATGAGAGAGAGGGGAGAGCGTGGAGAGGGCCACACGGGTCCGGACATGGTGATGTGAATGCTGCAAAATCGCGGTTCCGCAGGGCTACAGCTGCCCCACAATTATCTTTATTTATGCCTTGCTGTATACTACTACTAAAGAGAGTGCGAAGTACCTATGGCTCCCGTTTTGGGAGGAGAGCTTCGAGGGGAAGGGGTATCCCTTGTCCGTCATAGATGCACGGGCGATCACCACATGCTTGCTGGGATTTGTGGGTTTGGGCCAATGGACCCTCTCACCCCTGTCTAACCCCAGGGCGACAAGGGCTTGGGGCGTGGTTTTAGCAAGAAATGTATCAGTCCGAGGAAGGTACTTGCAGCCGGTACTTGTAAGCTAAGTGGGGAAAGAGCTGACTACCGTATCCTCTCAGCAGATGTGAAATCCGCACGGGCCACACGCTAGTCCCATTATAACAGGCGGTCAACCTACCTACACACACACCCACCCATATAACCCTAACCCTTGCCACCTACCTGCTGCTGACGTAAATGAATTCCTGTATTTGCCACATCTAGATCCCTGTTTCTGCCAGCCCGCTTACCCCTTTCCAGCAGCCCGTGGCCCGTGCGGATTTCACATTTGCTGAGAGGATACGGTACTAGGTAGTGCCAGGCGAAAGCCGGAGAGATCACATCCCCCGTGGCAGGACGCTAACGGAATGGCGGGGCCATGGTCTTGCATGCATATCTCCTTGCAAGAAGACAACCAGGGCATCATCACCACATTAGAAGCTGGCTCTGGCAAGAGCTTGGAACCTGAAGAAGGACTGTATGTACTTAGTGTACTTACAATGTACTATAGAGGTGGCGTGCCGTATGGTCCGACTCGCAGAGTCCTAATGTACGCGAGTGCTTAAAATTGGCCAGCGAAATGCTCCACCCATCTGCCATCCAGCCAGCATCATCATCCAACCTTTCTCCTAACACCAACCACCTGCCTTTGAAATCACGTGCCTGGTAGATGCATCCCGTCATCTATAGACTGGCGACGTGATTCTTTGGAGAGTCGAATGGACATACATAGGTACCTGTCTATATTACTTACCTACCTAGATACTAAGTAGGTAGTATATGTGCGGTGTATAGGATAGGTAGATAGGAGCGGAGCGCCAAGGCTTTCGACTGTTAACAGTCTCCAGGTTCCATGTTCCAATGCCGTGTTTGTGTTTGATCCCCACGCCGGCCCCTAAAGTGAGGTATTTTATCAATCCGCGGTTGAGCACCTCCTTGGTCCGTCCTCAGATTCGTAACACCGTGACATTTTACGCGTACTCGGCAACAAGGCATACCTCGGCAGGAAACTTGAGGGTGCCCCATCCATCATGAGGCCGAGTCGAGTCGAGTCTCGATATACTCCGGATACATGGCCGCTGGGGGGGGGGAGCAGTCAACATGGTGGCAACCTACATAGGGTAGTAGGTATGTTGAGAAGAAGTGTGATGGGCTACCAATCAAGAGGGCGGGGGAACAGGTCCCTTGGCTACCGTGCTTACGGAGCTCCTATCGAGGTGGTTTGGGTGGTGTGCTGCGTTATGCTTTGTCTCCGAGGGGAGGAGCGTCAAGCGTGGATTCCCCGGCGGAGCGATACTACACCGTACGTGTACTTTGACCGAACTGGGAGAGAGCTGGTTCGCCGTCGCCCACTTGTACAAGACATTGGAGTATAGGTATGCCTGCACGACGCCACGACCTGCCTGTCTTTCGTACACGTACAGTACCTACCTACCTAGGTTCTTTAGTACCTCAGGTATACTGCAGAGTGTGCCGTCGATACCTAGGCATGCCTAGCACTCATTTACCTTTCTCCCCGCGTCCCTTGCCTTGTCCTTCCTCTCCTCTTTCCCGGGTTGTCTGTCCCAAAGGAAGCCTACGTTGCTACCTGCCCTGAGCTTCCTATCCACGCAGCGGCCCTCCCCCCCCTCCCCCCCTCTTTCTTTCCTCGCATCTTCGGCAAGATGCAGCTCGGGTCCCATGTTAGAGAGCTCCCCACACCACCTCGTCTCAACTCACACCGTTGCTTCTAAGCTACCTACCTATCTACAGTAGCTGTATAGCTTGCTTGGCTTCC